CGAGGTTTACAAGAACCCCCTTCCCCTTCCTCCGTCGTTCCTCTCCCAACAAACCCTACTGGAGAAAGAACCGTGCTGAGACTGCCCTAACAAGGGAAGTGTCAGAAGTCCCAGTGGCCTTTTGACATGAAATGGGTACCATCTTAAGCAGCTTTAAATGCTGATTCCAAAACAAACTTTCTTAGCTGCAAAACTGATCTGGGTCGCGAGTTATGGGCATTTTAAACATTGAATTTTACACTGTTTGAAGTACTCTGTGATCACGGGAACCTTTCAATTGCTTGTTTAAGCACCACAGCATGACTTTGATGAAGGCGTAGGATTACGTTAAACATTGTTGGACTGTTTCATCTATGTTTGAGCCCGAAAAAATGTTCGCTTTAATTTTTGGCTATTCTCAGCGTTGTAAATTTCCCGCAAATTAAATTCAATAACTCTCGTCCTAGATTAGTTCTGCAGCTAAGAAAGGCTGCTTTGGAATCAGCATTTCAAGCTGCTTCAGATGATACTTATTTCATGTCAAAAGGCCACTGCGAGTTCTGACACTTCCCTTGTAAGACCGATATTCTGAGAAAAGGCTATCTTACCCTCCCCCCTCTTCCTTCCCCCACAGACCGATAATTACAGGAAGCCCTGCCCTATGGAGGATCAGCAGATATTCCAGATTACAGATCTACAGCCCCTACAAACTGTATTGCCCTACGAGGCACTCACGTATAATCTGCTCTATGGACAGCCAAAGACCGAAGTCTTGAGAAAGAAGCTGCCAGCTACTTATTGTTAGAGGCCTACACAATGGTATTTTGAGGAGGAACCGCCCTTGGAACCTATATACAACAAATATTTTGTGATAAAACTGCTCTATGGGCCACCTACAAACCATAATTTGAGAAAGGACTGCCTTATGGGATTTTACAGACCAATATTTCAAGAAAAATTGCTCTGACTGCCTTATGGGATTTTACGGACCAATATTTCAAGAAAAATTGCTCTATGTGCCGCTGCAAATCGATAATTTCTAAAAGGAGCGGCCGAGCGGGGAGGGGGGGGGGGCTTGCCAACGATAATTTGTAAAGAATCGCTCCATGGGCCTCTTGCAGCATTTTGCGAAATAACCGCTCTATGGGCGCTCACAGACCAATATATCAAGAATTGAGCTGGAAACCCTCAAACCAATATCTCGAAAAAAATTGCAGCCGTTCAAAGACCGATATTTGAGAAAGAGCGCTTTCCGAGTCCCTTATGAATTAGTCTTCTGAGAGAGAAAAAATAATTAGAACAGGTTACAGTATATCTACGCCTCATACCAACCAACTTTCACAAGTAACTCCTCTACGCGCCGCACACAGACCGACAATTTTAGGAGGTGCCCTAGTCGCTTATACATCAGCATTTTGAGAAACAAGTACGAGCCTAAAAAGTGCCTGATGAGAAGCTTATGGAACGATAATTGTATGACGATTCTACGAGCCCTTCCGCTCCTCTTCAAATTCATATCTGAAAAAAAGCGCTTTATGGTCCACCTTTAGAAATATAAATATGAAAATGAAATGTTCCCCTTGCGGACCGATACTTTGAGAAGGAACCACCCTACAAATAACCGCTAACTGGATAATTGTCGAAAAAACTCCTCAGGGGAGCTTACAGATCAATATTTTTAGTAGAACTGCCTTACTGGCACCTACAAATCAAGAAAGAGCCCTATGAACAGATTAAGCATTGAAAGATATGCCCAATGAACAGGGAACAGACTGGAGTTGTGAGAAATGATTGCAGAGACCTATAAGAATAGCCTTACGACTTAACAACTTATTTCAAGAACAGAGAACTGTCCTCATCAATTCTCACCAACTATGCCAGCTATGAACTTTAACTAATTATGGGCAGCCAAGAACTTAAGCAGGAAAATGAAAATGTGAGCAGTCGAAGGGTAAACGTTGAGGAACTATTAAAGCATGTCTACGCTAGACAGCGAGTTCCGAATCATTCATACCGGCAGAGTTCAAACTTGCGAAAGAAGGGCGGGGGGGGGGGTACTGTTAGCAACCTTACGCGAGTGTCGGCCCCTTCCCAACTGTAGCCCTTTTGCACTTAAGAACCGCACCCCTTTTGGACGCCTTCCTCGAGGAGACACAATATTTACCACCCCCTGTTACGAAAACACGCTAGCCTTGTAGACAATCTGCACCCTCCGCACCCTCGGCAATCACTCGCCTCAGTCCGCAACTTGTCAACATGTAAGTGCAAAACCTTGCCATTCTTTATTATAGAATGATCATTCATACCGGCAGAGTTCAAACTTGCGAAAGAAGGGCGGGGGGGGGGGGTACTGTTAGCAACCTTACGCGAGTGTCGGCCCCTTCCCAACTGTAGCCCTTTTGCACTTAAGAACCGCACCCCTTTTGGACGCCTTCCTCGAGGAGACACAATATTTACCACCCCCTGTTACGAAAACACGCTAGCCTTGTAGACAATCTGCACCCTCCGCACCCTCGGCAATCACTCGCCTCAGTCCGCAACTTGTCAACATGTAAGTGCAAAACCTTGCCATTCTTTATTATAGAATGATCAATAACTAAATATTGCTGGTCCGAAAGTTCGTCCGCACCTTTTCAAAAATTACGTCTTTGCATTTTAGAATTAGTGGCCTGTTTGAATTCGTCATAAAGGTAATTTGCCTGGAAGTAATGATCATGCTCTTTACAGCACTACCTCTGCCTGAGGTTTTTGTGAGTAAATACGAGAGTTGGAAACAAGAGATTTATCCAAAGATGGCACTTTATAGCAATCTAAGAAAAATGTAAAAACGCCACGGCGGTGACCACAGTCATAAACATCTTTAAATGCCAACTTCAAAACGCAACTCCAACCAGGCGGCCAGGCACATACTTACACAAGGTCAATTCATTTTGATTCATTATTATTAATCAATTTTTTTCAGTAGTGGGGAGGGGGAAGGGGAAGAAAAATCTGATTATACGTGGCATTTTTGGCGGCATTGCGGAATAACATAACTTTTTTTGTAAGAGTGATGAGGTGTTTTGCCCGAGCATGCAATCATTCACCATTCTTGAGAACGGTGATTGCGCCGAACAGAAAACCCGTTCCTTAAAGATGATTGCACCACAAGGATATCGCAGCGGATAGCTGTTTTCGAGCAAAGAGTGATCACCAATAAAGTGTCCCAAAATTATGTTGGACCGTTATATCTCTCTTCCTGCGAAGTCTTGCCGTTCTACAAGGACCTTGTTGTAGTACTGCCTTCAGCCTAGATTTGCAAGAGCGAATCAGCCAGATAGCTCTGCAAATTATGGCTGGAACTTTCTAGCAAATGAGGGTTTTATCTTGTTTTAAAAAGCGAGCCGATACGCCAGCTCAGTCAGAGTCGCTAGCTCTAGATGTGTATTTTCCACTTTAAGTGCCATAAGCTATTGCAAGATTAGCGTAAAACTGTCCAGTTAATGTTCCGTAGAAATGTGAAAAAGCTCTAGATACTCGTTAAAAGTTGCGCAATGAAATAAGTGTGCTTTAATACTCCTTTTACTTAACATGCCAGATTTTTTGGAAATTTTTGATAAAGAAAAGTCGCAATGGCGCTATGAGGAAGTCCCCACCGTAATCCTACAGTAATGAAGAAAGATCGGCAGTTTGCTTCATCCAAATTTAAGTCGAAGCCAGCTCCACGCAATGGTGCTTGAAGTTCGGCAAAAAACATAGTTAAGAGAAATTAATAATTAGATGGTGCATACATGCTTTAGGGACACACTGCATGATTACCCTAATTTCACGCGTATAAGGCGCGGGGGATTCCAAAATCGACCAGCCCAGATACGCCAAAGGACTTTAAAACCAAAGGACCCTATAACGTGCCGTGTATTGCTTGAGATAATCGTGCGATGTAAGGATTTCTTTCCGGGATGCAGTGAACCGGCTGAGCGGCTTGCTTGAAAATTCGAAAAAGTGCGCCTTAAACGCGTGAAATTAGGGTACATTATATTAGGTTGTTACATAAGTCTTGTTACACTTAAATTCTAACGGCGATAAGTCATACACCTTAAGTCTTTGCAGTACTCCAAGGCACCATTCGATAGAGCAAAGCAAGCTCTACAAGAGGGTTTGCAAAAGTTCGCACCAGCTTCGATCCACCGTGAGTTTGCACCCAAAATCTGAGTAGTGCTGAAGACTCAGAAATTGCGAAAAATTCATATCTTCGTTCAGAAAAACCCTGCGAATCTCCAACTTGCTCACAAAAATTGCGCACTATATCAGACACTCATATGTACCGTTGCTGTATTTTTTCCTCATTTAGAAATCGAGAAAAAGAATTTTTTTTGTTTTTACAAAAACGAGGCTATGCTGTTTCTATTCATGTAGCTGTATACAACAAGCCCTTACAAGTATAACCTTAGAATTTCAGCTTTCCATAAGCCCCAGTTTTCGAAAAATACCAAATTTAGCTTCTCCCACTCGGGTGTTCAATGCTAAATTAGGTAATTTCCGAAAACTAGGGCTTCTGGAAAGCTAAAAATTTACGGTTACACTTGTAAGGGCTTGTAGTATACAGCTACATAAATAGAAACAAAATAGCTTCGTTTTTGTAAAAACTAAAAATTTTTCTTTTTCTCGATTTCTAGATGAGGAAGAAATACAGCAACGGTACATATAAGCGTTTGATATAGTGTGCAATTTTTGTGAACAAGTTGGAGATCCGTAGGATTTGTTTGAACAAAGATATGAATTTTTCGCGATTTTTTGAATTTCAGTACGACTCAGATTTTGGGTGCAAACTTACGGTGGATCGAAGCTGGTGCAAACTTTTGAAAATCTTCTTGTAGAGCTTGCTTTGCTCTATCGAATGGTACCTTGGAGCCCTGTAAAGACTATGAGGTGTATGACTTATCGCCATTAGAAGTTAAGTGTAACAAGACTTTTGTAACAACCTAATACTACTAAATACGGATGATATTCTCCGCATGGGAAGGGGAAAACGTCAGGCAAATGGACGAAATCTTTATGACATATCATACAACTTTCCTCACAAAAAGAGGTGGTCGACGTTCTACCGTGACACAATCTGGGTAAAAGAATTGTGAGTATTTGAGAGGAACTTGGATTTTTTTCGTACACGACCATTATTTGCGTCACGATTGGTTGCTATGGATGTAGTTTGCAATATCTCCAAGTGTTTGGAACTGTTCTAGCGTTGAGGCATCGGTCTGGATCTGAAAAACTCCACAGTTAAGTTCAGCGGAAAGTGATAAAAATTGTCATTCCTAAGAGATGTCACAGATGTAATAATAGTTGTACGGTTTAACATTCATTTAGTCACTTATTTATTGTAACTAGGCTTCGAACACAAATCATTTTGTAAATCTCTCAAATGTGGAAAGTCCGACATTATTCTGAATTTTATAGCACATGAACATAAGTCATGAGGCATTAGAATTCCAGCAAACTTTCAACTTACTCCAAAATGAAATGTTATTGCTCCAGCCATCATTTCGAGGAAGTAGCCTCGATCGACATTGATATCGACAGTGAGGTCGAATGTCATGTCGATCTGTTCAAAACTCTTCGCCGTGAAAAACGTACAAAGTCGTCGAAGTTTGTCTTCCACCTAAAAAAAGATTTGTAAAGGGGTTGCAAAGCGCAGAATTGCCTCAAAAAATTTGGTATATTAATACAAGGGGGCGCACTAAAGAAAGTGTAGTTCGTGCTTTTATTTCATAATTAATTTTCGTTAAGCGAGAATACTATCTGCTTACTTCTTCAATCCCTTCTAAAAAACGTACTTCTTACGAATTCATTGTTTGTACGAACGTACCAAATTTTATGGCCTTTTATAGTTTTAACGACTGGTTTTTGGCCTACTTATACAGCCAGCGGGTCCTTGACGAAGGTCATGCGAAAAATCTCGATTACAAAGAAGTTACCTATGAAAACTACATAAATTCCAAACGCACTCACCTGTCTCTGTCACGAAAATCGGTAAGGAATAATTTACAATGCTTGAAAGCACTTGAGGGTCTCATAGCAAGAGATCAATTTAATTTGCAATTTATTCGAGGCTATCAATCAAAGTCTTTTTAGCACATTTTAGCTATATTTAATAACCAACGGTGTACCCCCCCCCCCCGACAATGAATTTCAAAATTTTCGAAAGTTACTTACGTGAATTATAAAAATATGCAAGTGACTTAATTGTACTTGTAAGCAAGAAATAATTTTCAAATCTTCAAAAATTCAAGTTAGTCCCATGAAAAATTGAAATTCCGGGGTTATGGGTCCGCAAAAATTTTAGAAAGCATACCAAAGTTTTCTTCGGAGCCACGCCACGCACCTTCATCAGAAAAAAAATGTTGTTGCCCCCCCCCCCTTGGTAAGTACACCTGATACTTTAGATATTAGGTATTAGTGTTTTCATATCCGGACCTTCAATTCGATATTTCTCGAGAACTAGGGCACCTAGTAAGCTGCAAATTTGTGACAGTAATTCTGAGTGAAAGCTATATAAACACCTCTTGCGGGGAACACAGATCTGGTACAGGCAAAGTTTGAAAATTGAGCGCACTATCATTTTCTTGGTTTCTAGACATCAGAAAAATGCAGCAAGTGCATGTATAAATATCCGATGTGGGGATATGCATGAGAAAGTGGAAAATTTGCAGAGTTGCTTTGAACTGAGATACGATGATTTTTGTTTCTTCGGAAATTCGGAAATTTTTTTATTTTGGCTTGGAACTTATTGCGAATAAAGCTTGGTGCGAACATTTGAACGCCGTCTTGTAGAGCTTGCTTTGATCTGTCGGATGGTACCCGCATTCTGTTAGAAGTTCAAGAAGAACTGGTTTATGTCGCTGAAAACTCAGGTACAAAAAGAGTTATGGGACAACCTAATGATAGCCACTGCTATGTTTATTAATGTTGCATAAATGGTCAGAATTTGAAAGACGCGAATGATATAACAGTTTTGAGTGATGGTGAATAAGTGCACCATTGATTAATGTTAGCTTACCGTTGTTTCAGTAAGCTCCTCTTGCAGCATTTTAGCCTGAAAAATGAATTTTATTGAAGCTCCGGTACAACTTTTACTATAACTTTTTACAATAACAAGCGACAAACGTTTTTGTAACGAAGTTGAGGAAATACTGAAAAAATGTTTTCAAATAAGGTATCTTTGGAGAATCTTAAGCGCAAGATTGCGAAGATAAAGTTATATGAGTTCACGAAGTTCGCAGTAAGACCTGGGAACAATTTATGGGTGTTACACTGAGCCGGTTTTACATGGAGAATCTTACGATCCATCACTTTTGTTTTCCTCTGACCTTCACTGGTTAAGCAGTTTTTCAGCGGGAGAAGTGCCAGCGATCATTGCAACACCTCCGCCAATGTGAATGGGTCCTTGTTCCTGGTTTTGGGTGATCCGCTGGGTATCATAAGAAACGATGCACAACAACACTGGATTCGACATCAGTTACGAGGTTTTCTGAAGGAAACTCAATGGAATTTGCCATTTTGCTGCGGATACAGTTTAAACAGATTCTATACAAAATGATCAGTGCTCATGGATTCCATAGATTTATGCATGGATAGCCTCTTATTCTCATAAAAGACTTATTGTGAGCGAATTCTCAAGATTACATATGGCCCTATACATATTGCCTTTGGGCTGCTTTTCGTAAGCAATTTAACAAGGGCATTGTAGTGATTTGATAACCGGGTTGTCTTTTCCATCAAAGCAGTACCTTCTTCTATCGAACTGATTGGTTTGTTAGCACTTTATTAATGGAGAGGAAAGAAGGAGGACACACTCTTCATTTTCAAATTGGACGTCAAAAGTTTGTAAACTAAGACGGAAACGTTGTAAGAATTTGTGGCCTAATTATCGTAGATGGGAAAAGCTACGCTGATTGAACATCTTTACAGGGATTTGCGATCCTTGATTTGAAAAAGGGCCAAGTTGTTGCTTTGTATCGTTTCCTAGACTACCCTAAACCTTCTTTAGCAATTATTTCATTAGAAAAAACTGTCAATATCAGCGGTTTCATTAGACGTATCTCTTAGATTCTAGGGCGCACAGTTTCACAAAAATTTAATTTTGCGCAATCTTCTTTTTCCACTTCGGTCTTTCGAATAGCCCCCAGTAAGCAGCTGTCAAGTGTGTTTCCATTGGAATTTTAATGATGCTTGTTGAAAAAACAGATACAAACAAATACAAGTCGTATATTGGCAATTTACAATATCGTTTTCGGACTTTTCTAGTTCTCGAAATTTTTGTTATGGCTAACTACAAAACATGCCTGTTTCGAAGAGCATGTGATACAGCAATTTTTCATTTCGAAAAAATCAGCGCTGGAGGTTGCTGCAAGTGCGTCAAATATTCTTTATAAAAATTGTAAACGTTTTAAGCCAGGTGTTCCATTCCTACTATTCGAAAAAGATTCTTAAGACAAGACAACTCTTTGCCTTATGTAACTGCAGCGAGAATAAAAAAGCAACAGTCCGTTTTGCATGACATTTCGCGGAATGGAAAGGTGTTCACAACCTTCAAACTTGAATGAAGAAAAAGCATGCAGGGCTCACACCTCGTATACAGTTTCGAAAGACATACATGTACTTACCAGTCAAATCCGAAGCTTGATAAATAACTGTGGTGCCTTGCATTGCCATCGCTTTAGCTTAACCAAAGGCGTGAAGAAAACTGAAATATGGTATATGATCGATTAGCGGCGTTTGGCGAGAAGATCTCTACGCATCCCAATTATCTTGCGCCTTACTGAGAGAAATGATGAAGAAAAGAAGCTTTAGAAAAGGAAGTACATGAACATTTCACTTGCATTTAGAAGAGATTTTTGAGGAGTCTGTAACTTGAATCATTTGTAAGGAGCGGTAATCGCATGAATTTGTGTTGATCTGCTACAACTGATACAGCGGCTCTGTAAAAGAGCTTAATTAATTGAATGAATCGGCATTTCTTTGGTCTAGGTTACAACAACGTAATGTTGCATTCGTTATCAACGAAGAAAAACTGAAATTTTTTAGGTGATTAGCGCTTATGTCGTGCGTAACGATGCTTGTAGCATCGCGAAATATTCGCAAAACTGCAGAGACGCCGAAAAAAACTGATTAAGTGTAGCAGCAAGGTTATGCGCACGAGCTAGGGGTATATATTCGGGTGCAATCTGGGAGAACATCACCGACATGGACGTTGAGTGGCAGCATCGTTGCAAAGCTTATCGCTTTGTGGCCTACTCGGCCGTCGCCTTTTCGGTGGTCGCCATCCTTGGCGCTGCTACTACTCTCCCTATGGTATACAACTATGTGCACCATGTCAGACGGACGATGCACACCGAGCTCAACTTCTGCAGGGTAAGCGCTCACTTTTTTAGACCTCATTTTCTCCGAAGAACAATTGGTGTTTCAGGCCTCCGCTCGCGACATCTGGTCAGAGGTCAACGGCATGAAGATTACTGGCAACCGTACCGCCCGTCACGCATACCGTGCTGGCCGTCAGGCATACGGAGAAGATGGAGGAGTAACCGGAGGAGGAGGCACAGCGACTGGTGGAGGTCGCACGGGTGGTAGCGCTAGTGGTGGTGGTAGCGATTACGGAGGCAATGACTGCACAGCTTGCTGTTCCGGAGGAGCAGCTGGACCACCAGGAGTTCCAGGAAATCCAGGACGACCCGGAAACCCAGGAGCACCAGGAGCACCCGGACAGCCAGGACGCCCACCTGTTCAGCCTTGTGAGACCCCAACTCCTGCCCCATGCAGACCATGTCCAGCAGGACCACCTGGACCACCAGGACAACCAGGACAGCCAGGAGCACCAGGAGGCAACGGAAACCCAGGACAGCCCGGAAATCCAGGAGAGCAAGGCACTCCAGGACCCAAAGGACCTCCTGGACAACCTGGACAGCCCGGACAGCCAGGAGCACCTGGAATGCCAGGACAGCCCGCTTACTCAGTTCCTCCTACCCCAGGACCACCAGGACCTCCAGGACCAGAGGGACCACCTGGACCACCCGGACAAGACGGACAACCCGGTTACCCCGGAGGACCAGGTAATTTGCGCCTACTCTTTCCGAGACTTGATACGGATTTCAATTCTAAGCTTAATACTTTTTAAGGTCAACCTGGACCAAAGGGACCTCCTGGAGGCGATGGACAACCCGGAAACCCAGGAAATCCAGGACGTCCAGGAGACAAAGGACAAGCAGCCACTCCCGGAGAGCGTGGTATCTGTCCCAAATATTGTGCCCTCGACGGAGGAGTCTTCTTCGAGGACGGAAGTCGCCGCTAGATTGCATAGATCGCTTAGATTTTTTACTAATAAAAATCTTGATTTTAACGCTGGATTCGAAAGACACAATACAATATAATATCACTTTGCGGAACCCGCACACGAAGTACTCCCACGTTTTCAAACATCGAATATCTCAGAAGCATCGACTTGTGCCGCAGAGCATTGAAGTGCAAGATTTGCGCATTTGAAAACAGCGAAAATTCGAGAATTTGTACGACAACAGCTCAGCTCTCAACCCTTATTTTGAATTTTGCAAAACTGACGTCAACGTATCGTCGTTGCGAAGACAGAATGCTTAGCGGCAGACTGAGAATTAGTAAAAACGTAAAATGAGAAGACATGCGATAAGAGTACGTTAGAAGTATTATATAATATAAATACCAAAAATCCAGCCGAGAGGGTTCTGAGCCCTAGAATAAGGCTGGAAGTACTGATAAGACTCAAGTCAAATGCACTGAACGATTCTCTCCCTTCCATCATTCGAGAAAGATTGCATAAAGTGCATAAAATTTTTAAATACGTGACCCATTCTTCAAAATTTTGCTTCGAAAGCCGTCAAAAGTTTTTGAATACCCAGTTCATGACGGCTATAATATATTCAGAACAAATCATTTTCCCTTTTTTTGTTTCATAGTAGAAAGTAAATGTGAGTGTCACTTACTTGGAATACCGGATCGATTAAACTGTTCCATTTTACCCACATCTGGTAAGTTGTGTACCCGTTATTTCTGAAGAGTGTTTCAAAAAGATGTGCACACTGTTTGATCGCTAATAATCCCTCGATTTCATGTCTTATGCCGACCTTAAGATACCATTTTGTAGGAGGAGGTCCAACTTAGACTTACAGTATGAAGCAAACCACCAATATTCTTCATTACTGTAAGTTTACGGCATGAACTTCCAGCATACAGCGTCACTGTGTAATAAGCCTTTTGATGAAATAATTTCAAAAAACTTTGGAAATTTGTGTAGCAAGGTTTTAGGCGTTGCTGATTCGCCATGTTTCGAGCTTTCCTGATGGTGTATTCACATTTTGATGAACATTGGAAAAACAATTGTCACCCTAAATCTGAAATAACTTACGAAAGAAGCATTATGCCGAAGTGCAAAACTTTGTTTAGAATCAGCGACTTCTATCAGCACAGTTTAAGAGTTTCTGGCTTGTTTAGCTTTCTTTCTGAGGCAAAATACCGCTTTCAATGGCTTGAAATCGTCGAAGTTCCTACCGTAAGTCTACAGCAATGAAGAGAGAATGGTGATTCGTCTCATACTGTAAATCTAAGGTAAACCTTGCTCTACAGAATGGTGCCTCAAGCTCGGCAAAAGACGTGAAAGCAAGAGAGTTAATAACGATCAAACAGTGTGCACATCTTTTTGGGACACTCTGTATAATTTGTGGCCGTATATTACCCCTATTGTTGATAGAAGTGCACGGAAATAGCATTAAAAAGTGATAGCGTATTATCTTCAGGGGTAGCTTTCATACATTTTGAACTTTCCACTAACTTTATTACTAGCATTAGGTGCATGAGAAATAGGTAAAAAAAACAAATGGCGAGTGAGGAATTTTGAATCTTTCATCAAAGTTTTCGTTCAGTGCTCGGCTGTTTGACCATCACAATGATTGAGTCCTATGTCCATCAACCGTTGGAGTCTTGCTCAAACTTTTCGTCTTAGTTTCATGTCTTCCCGTAAGGAGTTTTCAGTCCTCTATCTCTAAGCAGTTTAGTCTAATTATACAGAGCAGTAAAGTCTTGGAATCTAGCACAATACAACTGCGTAGTAGCAATAAAACTGGGAGTGGAGGGTAGACGATCTTTACTACATAGATGGTATGCAGAGTC